GGAGGAGTCAGAGCCCTCCGTGCCTTTTGCAGGCTTTTATTGGGATTTACCCGGTACGCAGCAGGCAGGGGTGCTGGGGGGCCGGGAGGCTGGCAGGCCTCCCAGCCCCCAGCAAATCCTCACTCTATCTGGGCTCTCCGGCCTTCTCTGCTTCTCTTTCGGCTTCTGCTGGCGTCCCCGTGACGCCGCCCTTAAAAGCCCAGTCTCAGCCCAGGTGAATCCCATCTACCTAGGCCCACACCCTACTCCAGGTGCCGCCATCAGGCATGCACTCAGGACCGCAGGGATCCATCATCTCTCCTGATGGCGGGAGGGCAGAAAAGCCTGATACCTTTTACCTCACCCCACACTCCCAAACGGGGCTCCCCATCCCCAGCCCATCACAGTAAAAGGGCAACTCGGCGGCACCATCTTGGAAATGGATCCAGAATCAAGAACATCAGTGGAGCGAGCCTCTATCATCTCTCACCTGTTCGCCACAGACTCCTGATTTTCAGTCTTGTGATGCGACGGCCCACGTACACGGCAAATCAGCTCCTGTCTCAATTCCATGTCTTTGTCTGGTCCTACAAGACCCAAAGTATCTGCATGTACCTACCCCGTCCCCTCAAGGGAAAACAAAACTCACTTCAAATACCCCCATTATCCCTCTCCGGGCACCATACGCCTTGCAGCTGGGCATCCAGTAGTCTAGGCCTCTTTCAACCTCAGGACATTTGCACACTCTGTCCCGTGCCGGGTGTCGTTCCCCAAGCTGTCCCCGAAGTCGGCACCCTCCCCTAATCAGAGGTGACTCCTGTTACCACTCGACCAGGTCAAGGATATGTGGGCATTCTGGTTTTTTTTTTTTTCCCCAAAATTCCTATGTGCATAGGCAGGAAGACCACTGAGCAGGTTTTCTGATCCCATGCAGACCGGGTGAAGGAGGAGTCAGAGTCCTCAGTGGTTTTTGCAGGTCTTTTATTGGGATTTACCTGGTACACAGCAGGCAGGGGTGCTGGGGGCCGGGAGGCTGGCAGGCCTCCCAGCCCCCAGCAAGTCTTCACTCTCTCTGGGCTCTCCGGTGATCTCTGCTTCTCTTTCGGCTTCTCCTTTGGCTTCTGCTGGCGTCCCCGTGACGCCGCCCTTAAAAGCCCAGTCTCAGCCCAGGTGAATCCCATCTACCCATGCCCACACCCCACTCCAGGTGCCGCCATCAGGCATGCACTCAGGACCGCAAGGATCCATCATCCATCCTGGTGGCGGGAGGGCAGAAAAGCCTGACATTTTTCCTTACCCTACACTATGAAATGGAAATTCTCAAAAAAAAAAAAAAAAAAAAAAACCGCTAAGGACATAACTCAAGCAAACGCCTGGGGTTCCTAAGGTAATGAAACGTTTTCTGCCGAAAGGGTGAAAGAAGGTATGAAGGTCAGCCCAGCGCCCGAGCCGTCCCCCAGCCTTGGCTCCGTGCACAGCAGACACGGTGGAGCCGGGACAGCGGGCCGCGCAGGCCGGGGAAACAGGCAGCCCCGTCTGCATCTTTATCCGGCTGTCACCCGCCAGGCAAAGAACAGGGATTAGAAAGCTGACCGGGCGACGTGACAGTCTTAGTGGGTCTTCAACCTCGCCCCATCCCAGTGGCCACGGGATCAGGTTCCCTGCGGGTCCACTGGGTAGAAACACAGCGGCTGGGGAGAAATCAGCCTCTCCCGCCCACGGCACGGTGCCGAGGACTCTGCGCCTTCCTTTTTTAAAAACGGGGTTCAAACATTTAATTTTTAATAAGGTGCCAACATTTGCACGGTGTTAAAGTGAAAAAAAAAACACAACACTGCTTCGGGGTCGTTCCAACGCCAAATGCAAACAGATCGTGTAAAAGTGGCTGAGAGGCGCGACCCCCCTCCCGGGGCAGCATGGAAATGGCGGTTATTGCGCTGGTGAAGTGGAGCCTGGTTAGTGTTCCCCGAGTCAGATCTACAGGCGCCCCCGCCATGTAAGCCATTTCAGAGGGCGGAGGCTGAGGTGCCCTGAGACCGTCCGTGCAAAATTAAAACGAAGCATATTACAACTATGGGGCCTCGGGCTTCTCATCTTCTCCAACTCAGCCTCTGATGACAAACACTGAGCAGAACATGCACCTGTGGGTCACTTAAAGGAACCGCTTCTCACCTGAGTGAAACAAATGACTTCAAAATGTGCAGTTTCTGGGTCTTACTAGGCCCCAGAGAGATTAATTACATGTCTTCTCTGGTGGAACACACGTGAGGTCACCTGGTTCTAAGTGACAGCAAACACTGAATATTAGTTTGCTTCTAGCACATTCCCTGTCCCTAGAAGCCCACGCACATCTCTGTTCCTGGGAGGGCATGCTGAGAAGCACAGGCAAGAAGCTGGCACATCACGTGGGGAGCCTCTTTCTTTGGTGATCATCTTGCTCCCACACGTTTCCTCAGTAAGTGACAGGGAGCGCGAGAGGTCGGGTGACGGGCCTCATTCAAGAACTCCTTTCCATTCTGTATTTGTGTTTATTTACATTTTAAAAATGAATTCAGAAATCATCCAGAAAGTTCTACAAATGTCTAAACCCTTTGGTTCTGGCAAAAGAAAAAACATGTTATTCTGAGAAACGTTTATTTCACCTCCATACCCAGTTCTACTCATCTTGCTCATCAGATCACCCAGTAAGTCAGATGGAAGCTCTCCAGTTACCTCAGCCAGCAGCTTCAGGATCTTACCCACGTATTCTAACAAGAGTGACAAAGAGCCCGCACCATGGTCCCCACTGAATTTGTCTGAGACCCAGGGCTAGTGGGCCAGGCGGCTAAGTTACTCTGCTAGTCCGCACTGCCAAGCCCCTGTCCTCAACCGTCACCTGTCTGTCTGGCCCCAGCCTTCTGTGAAGGAGCCTGGGCCTCACCAAACAACAGGTTCAACTTATGAAGGAAAACAAGATGCGGCTGAGTCACGTAACATTCCCAACTGTTCCCTGTGAGTTCACGGCCATGTCGATGCTAAGCCTCAGGAGGACACAACTCCCCTCGGTGACCTTGGCCCAGAATAATCTATGTGCTGATGGCCTCAATGGAATGAGGAGATTGTGTGGCCTCACTGGCCGTTGGCTCTGGGCACATCTCGTGTTCCCTTTTGAAGTGACCTGTCGCAGCTAAAAGGGCATCCTGGCTTACGGAAAGCTCTTTCGGGGGCCATGTGGGAATAAGAGGGCACTGCATGAAGCAATCTTTAAGATCTCTGAGGATTTCAAGTGCAGGAGAATCCAGCTTCACTTGCACACGCTCCACGGAAAGCCCAGTAATGACACTAATACCCGGATCTGCTGCTCAACACCCATGCAGAGGCGGCGGCCACGCGTCTCATTCTAGCACAGGCCCAAAGGTAAAATTCTCTACCACCGCCGGGCACCTGCACACTCATGTGGCGATCTGCTATGACTCGAGTTGGCTAGTGAATTACAGAAGCAAATTTTCCATTATTTGTCAGCAAGATCTGACTCAAGGCAGAGAACCTATCAGTCTATTTTCTTACTAGACGGCTCACAGAACCCTGTTTGTAGCTAGGTTTTTATCGAAAAGGAACATTTTTATGAGGGCTAAGAAATGATGGATTCTGAGTGGAGTTCTCTGAGAGTGAGTGGAGGACTGTGAAATGAGAGTGTTTGGCGGAGGCTGGCAAGGAGAACAGGAGTCAGGGAGCACGACGAGGGCAAGGTGGTGGTAACCAACGCAGCAGACAACATTCCCCATACAAGGGCCGATCTCCCTTCCCTATTAAGAGAACCTAAATCCGGCTCAGAGAGCAAGATGCCTCACTAAACATTTTCCTTTGAGACGCACGTGCAGCCAGGGGGACTCGGATGACAGAACTGGAGCCAACAATGCCAGCTGGGCATCTCCGGGAAACCCGTGCTTTCCTGGCCAAGACATTGCACCTTCTACTTGCCACTTCCTCTCTTCTTACTTAGAAAGCAGCATCATCCCTGGCGGGTCAGCAGCCATTTTGTGACTGGGCAGCACTGAGCCCAAGGACAAACGGTAAAGATGGTGAAAAAAACATGCACAAGTGTGGGCCCTTCAGCTAGTGCGAGTTCCCAAGCCCCAGGCTTCCTATTCAGCTCTCATTGTTTGGTGAGTTTTCTGTGAGTTGCAACCAAATGCACACACGTCGATACCCATAACGAGAGTCACAAAGATGAGGCTGGTCAGCGAAAAGGGATGAACTTGGTATAAAGGGAAAGGCCGGGGGCGAACCGCACACAGATCACATGGTGAGCCTAAAATAGCTTCATTCCTTCCTGTCCAAAAGACAGAGGTCCTGAGAGCAGAATATATGGATCGCTAAGTTCAAACACAGAGATGCCCAGTGCGCCAACCGACTGTCAAAAATTTAACTCTGTCCTTCTGTGCTTTGATTGCTAGGATGAAAGCACATGCTTATGCATTAAAGCTGGACATTTTGCATCCTACAGAGAAGAGAATGGAATAGATTTAGAATCAATTTAGCATTTCTCTAGCAATCCATTTGAAGGAGTTCCCACTGAGAACTCATAAGCCTCACCCTCTCTGCGGCCAGATTTAATAAGATCAGAGAGGAAAAAGAAGTAGCCTGTTTAGACATTGTATATGCTATTTGGAAATGAAAGCACACTTATGGCAAGCTGGCCATGTAGAGCCCATGGAAAGCGCCAGATAGATCAACATTTAAGAATGCACAGGCAACAGTAATAAATAAATGAAGCAAATGCAATGGGGTTGTAAATCAACGAGGGGGTGTGTATGTCCTCAAAATAAGGGCGCATCCCTTTGTATGGCAGGAAATCCAGTGCAGCATTCAACACGCCCAATAGTTTGCCGTGCAGTCCCAAGAGGCTGGTCTTGCGTAGAGAAGTGATCTCTTCACACTTGTCGTAGCAGGCGACCCTGATGTTGGTTCACAAACTGATGGACAAGCCAAACAATAGGCTGGAAACAGACGCAAGGAACGGGACGGTCATGAGTGAACTGGGCTTGCGTGCTGCTTTCACTAAGCTCACATTTAATCGCTTTTCCCTTTTCCAAGAAAGTGAGTACAGTTGTCGGTAGCCCGATTCAGGAACCCAGCAGCACAAGTTCAGGACCCGATGGGAAGGATGTCGACGTGTCCACACCCCTTTGCCTGCTGGACTCGATGCTTCGTAAACGTCAGCTTCGCGCAGAAGGGGCACATTTCTTGACTCAGCATTTGGGCTGTGTCCCGGTACAAAGCACACCGTTCACACCCACCCGCGCGCCCACAGCAGTTAGTAGACTCGTTAAGAAACACAGCTTGAAACTCAAAAGGGGTTAAAGCTATAAAATGCCTACTCTTGATGGATTGTTCTTTAAAAAAGGTTTCATCGCGCTTCTCTTCCTTGCAAACCAAGTTTTTGTTTCCGCTGTCTCCAGCATACGACCATTCGTTGGGGTAATAACTTATTATTTATTTATTTTAAATGACACAGTTGTGTTTTTCTCAAAATAATCGCCACCTTGTTTCTAATTAAACATGATGGATTCAGGGTCCTGGTTTGCCATCTGGGCCATATGTCTCAGAACATCCTTTTTTGTGATGATGCCAAGAAGTCTCCTGGAGAAGAAACAGAATGGAGAAAAGGAGTCAGCCTTGCGCTAACGACTCAGGTCTGTCCCTCACCTCCGGCGTCCTTCCCACTGGGGCATGTGGAGGGAGAGCATTTCCCAGCCTCCCTTGCGGTCGGATGGGGTCACCCGACCGAGCTCTGGTCAATGACTTGAGAGCAGAGGTAAAAGAGGCGACACCACCGCCCCTGCTCGCCTTTCCTTTCTAGACCCCTGCGGAAAACTCCGACCCCAACTCGCTCTTGGGCTTCCTTCTGGGACCAAGACCTCCCTGGCTCCTGGTCGAGTTTCACCTTGGACTCAAGCCCTGCGGATGGCCAGGGTCAAGGGGACAGGCTGGAGCGCTGCGCCTCGAGTGGGGAAGGCACCAGGCGAGGGAAGACATCAAAAACGCAGGCTGGCTTGAGCCCGGCCCGCCTGGCCGCGAGCCCGAGGAGATGAGAGCCCCGCACACGGGCTCCCCCCAGCACTAATGTATCAGCATCTGTGTTTGTTTAAAATACGGAGAGCGAGAGCGAGAGCGAGTGTGCGATTTTGTTTTCTCGTGGAACATTCGGAGCCAATTTCGGCACCCAGATCTTCACAGGAAAACCTCACGGGGCTCCATGAGGTGCGAGCAGGCGTTAAGGGCAGAATTTCCTGCCAAAGCTGGAAATTCCAGTGATAACTGACGTTGGATTATTATTTTAAAGGAAAGGAGAAACTGCTACACACTTGAGACCACACAGGGGATCGCAGCAGTGTTAGGCCGAGCGCTGGAAATTCAAGTACATCGGCAGGCTTCAGGGGTTCGCAAAGTGGGGTTTCCCGACCAGCAACACCTGGGAGCGTGTGAGAAATAGACATTTCCGACCCCACCCGGGCCTGAGGGATCAGCAGCGGCGGCAGACCCCCAAACTCTGGGCTGAACCTGGCGGCTTAATCCTCCCGGGGTTCTGAGGCATGTTCAAGTTTGAGAAGCACTGAGTTCCTTTAAAAGTCACCAGCAGAAATGATCTCCAGCCTCAAAAACATCTTTGCTGGCTCCTCACGGATGGCCCTTTCTGTGTTCGGGGGATAGCAAGCCTGCAGGGCAGGCGCTCTCTGGGACAATGCGCAAATTTCAGGCCCTGCTGAACCCTGGGCTGCGCCACCAGGCGGGCAGAGAGAGCCAATGGAGTGAAGATTCTCACCGGGCCACCCCAGGGGCAGCGGAAAACCCAGGGTCCCCTCAGTGGCAGCACTAGTGACAACTGGAGTCCGATGAGTCTTTGTCCCTGGGGGGCTGACCCGTGCACTGTAGGGTGCTGAGCAGCACCCACTAGATGCCTGTAGCACCCCTCCCTCCACTTGTGACACCCCAAATCTCTGGGGGGGCAACCTCAGTCTGGTTGACAATGGCTGGGATAAACCAGAGTGTGCCAGCTCTAGAAATGGCAACGCCCTTAGAGCTAAGCTTCTGGATTCTAGAAAGGTCTAAACTCCGTTGGATACCATCGTCTGCACAACCCCTCCCGCCCCCACCAATAATGGGATGAACTGGGCAGACACGCCATCTGAGCCCATCTCTTCCTCTTCGAGGTTGTGGAATTGGGGGCACACCGCTGAGCCCAGAAAATGACCCAAAGGAGCCTGCACCCCTTGATGTAATGAGAGAGCTTTTCATTTTTCTTATCTTGAGAAGCAAGAACTTTTTTCTCCCTCCTTTTTCATGTTCACAGTGGTTGTTACTATTTACTGTTTTAATTGTGGAAACACCGAAAAGCACACAAGCAACTAGTTTCCTGGTGCAAAAGCAACACTGCTGGGGCAGCGACAGAGCCAGGGCCACCGAACCTCTCTACTCTCCCACATCAGGCGTTCTGGAAGCGTGGCGCTGTTTCCAACAGGAGACGTACTGGGGACCCATCAGAGGGCGATGTGAACTTCACACGTACCTGGGTACGAGTCCTTCCAGCAGAGCCTCTAGGTGCAGGCAGGACCGGGCACCCGGCTGAGCCCAGGGCAAGGAAGCCCACAGACACTGCCAACAGCAGCCCTCAGGCCACTCCCTTCCACAGAGCACTTCAGGCCTTGTTCCGGCTGAAGCGACATACTGATTGTCGCCTTTCTGGACTTCTTAAAGATCTAACGTGTGTGAAGTGGTGCCACCATTTTGGTGCGGTGCCATCTCTGTCTGAAAGTGTCACTGATAAAGCCATCGAGAGCCATGGGCCTAACTCACCCACATTTCTCAAGAGCCCCAGCGTCCCCGGCTCACTTTTGCAGAGCCCGGAGTTTCCTCAAGCCATGCCCAGGTGGGAGGTAGAAAGCACCCGTCCCCTTGGGCTGCTTCTGGGACTCACCCTCCAGCCTCGGACAGGACAGCAGCGACCAGGCAGCACCGCCCGCCAATCCCCACCCCACCCCGGGTGTGCAGGCCACCCTGGCCACTCCGGGCTAAGTCCCCACGGCTCCCTGTGCATCTCCAAGTGCCGGGGCACCCACATTCTGCGGCTGGCCCTTCATCCTATTCTCCCGAGTCTGGCCACCTTCCGGCCCACTAGCTCACCCGCTCCGCGTCACCAGGCACTGCCGGAGCCCCAGCTTCCGGAAGATGTCCACCACCGTCTCCATGGGCGTGTGGTCCGTGACCGTGAAAGGGCTGAGGTTCAGGACACGCCGCAGCTTCAGGGGGTGCGGGCTGTTGGCAGGCAGCTCAGGAGGCTCCTCCGTGAAGTACATGATGGAGTTGCTCACGATGCCCTCCTGCCTCTGTCTCGCATTCTCTAGAACAGCAAACAGGAAACATGAGGCCCCGAGTCCCCTCGCTTAGCAACTCTCTGGCCCCGTATCCACAAGAACACATGTCTTCCCTCCGCCCACATGCTAGAATTCCACAGGAAAGGGGTTCGGAGGACAAACTCCACCTTCTCAAGGAGGGGTTTCAGCCAAACATCTGTGGAATCGGCACCTCGCTTCAGCTAGTGCGGTGCCAGGCCCCTGCTGTGACCTGAGCACTCACTGCCAAAGTCGTGAAAGAGGGGCCTGACCAGGATGGCTCCTCGGGGGGGTTCACCACTTTCCCCCTGAACTCCAGGGCACCTCAAATGGCCCAGGCCCCTCTACCCTCACTTTCCCAACACTCCCTCACCTCATCACAGGCTAAAGTTTGTCATGACAAAAAACCTCACTTAGCTGCCAATGACCTTAACACATTGTTTCCTTACACACACACTTGTAAGTGGCCACGTGGCATCATGAAGCCGACAACAGACCAGGAAGACTGTCGCAGGCTCGCAGCCCAGAAACGCAGCCCAACCCCAAACGCGAGCCTAGGGACCCAAGAAATCGCCCCAGAGAAACCGCGGGCGCCACAACCTTGGCTCTCCTCACTTAAAAATGGGCCATTTCGTGGATTTCGCAAAGAAAGATAGTAAAAAAACAGTTATGGTAACAATTAGCCCATTTCTATCTATAGGCAAGGCCCTGGGAAAGAAAGTGGAAGAAAAGTGGGTAACAGGAACTCATTAGAAAGACAGCTTTATGCTACACGAGAGCCCGGGCTATTTTAAGTCACACGTGAAATAAATCCATTGGTCTCAAGCTATTTCTCCAAGGCGATTTTCCTTCCGTTGGAATTTTAATCTTTCTTTTAGTTCGTGGGAAAAGGTTAGGAAAAATGTACAGCGAGGCTTGCCTTAAAATGGATCCTGGCTTCTATAACACAGTTCTTGCCTTCTCAAGGAACCACTATTCACCTATATTGTTCTTTGAAAAATAAAATTCTAACTTTCTGCTCTCGGGCCAGTTGTGGCAGTGGAGGGCGGACTCCAGTGGAAAACCGGCAGCCTTTGGGGTCAGGCTGAACTTGCAAAAGGGTCTCTGTTTAACGAGGAACAGAGGGCCCTGCGCGCACGCCTGGTGTTCTCTGCGTCCGGTTCAATCGAGTTACATCAAATGGGACGGGATTCACCCACCACTGCCAGTCGACTGTGTTCACAACAGGTTTCCAAATGTGGGGGCTCCCAACATGCACGGCACACTCGTCCCCAAAATCAAGATGATTCCCCAGTGCTGAAGCACCGTGGCCAGGAGGCAGCAGCCAACACGAACTCGTCTGCTCGCGCCATCGCTTCCCTAATCCCCCAGCAAGCAGGTGGCGTGTGAGGAGTGGGCAGGACACAAACCCCATTCGAGAACCTTTCTCACGGACGTGTTAAACCCCTTACAGAACCAAACCCCACTCAGTGGACTAGGGATCCCCTTGTTAACATAAAGAACCAAATTACATTCCCTCTACGCCTACTGGCTGGGTGACAAGCCCTGATTCTAACCACAGTCACTTCTGTGAATCCTCGCGCACCAGGGCAGCCCAGTGCCCGACGACGCTAGGGGATCTGCATCCTGTGCCAACAGACTCATCTGCTCACTCCACGGCAGACGCAGAAGAGATTATGTGCCCAGTGCATCCATGAGCCAGTGCGTCAACGTGTGGATGAAGGAGCCAGGACATCTACCGAGCGTCGAGGCACTTGGCCCTGCCCGCCTTGTAGAAGACAGCCTGTGGCATGGGCGGGTCAGGAAGGCGCGCCCACGAGCTGCTCACTGAGCGGGAACAGAGTCCCCGGCGGGCTCAGAGCGGAGATGAGCTGGGCACCCCACTGCCCCACCCGTGGCAACTGCTGCTCTCCGCACGGCTCTGCTCTACCCTTCGGAACTCTGCGATAAAGACTAGCCTTAAAGGGGCCTCCCTGGTGGCGCAAGGGATTAAGCACCACACTATGAAGCAATCCGCAGCCTCTGCAGTACGCGTTCGATCCCCCGGCTGGCCAGAGAGCACATGGCGCAGCAGACCTCTCCTGACTTGCCCACAGCTCCCCTCAGCTGTGTATTTCACTCAATCTGCCTGTTCTGTGCCTCACTCTCTGGTGAATCCTCTCACCTCCTGCATCTCTGGCCTGTACCCCAGCTCCTGTATGCATAAATAAATAAATCTTTAAAAAAAAAAAAAAAAGACTAGCCTTAAAGCTTCGAAGTCTGGGGGTGAAGGTGCTACGGACAGGCCAAAAGCCGGCGAATGGAAAGAACCGGCAAGAATGCTCGTCCTATCTTTCTAGTAAAGAGAATCCTCTGCTCCTGGTTTGGACAAGAAATCTTCATCAATCACCAAAATCTCCATCAGTCGGAGAGGGGTGAGACTGGCTACGGTCATTTCTGTCCTCCCAGCTCCTAGGATGGCACAAGCGCACACGACGCACGCCCAAAAGCACTTCCTGTGTGAAGGAGAACCCAGCTCCCCACCCAAGAATGATCCAGAACTACCAGAGTGTAGGTTCCCAGAGCCCAGGGATTCATGGGAGTCTGTGTTAGAAAAGAAAAGAAAAAAAAAAAAAAAGACAGCCCAACACTTACAGTGTCAGACAAAAAGGGAGCGCATTCATTCGCCCTGGCCTGCCATGGGGCTGAGAATGTCAGTCTCCGCTTTCCCTTTCGCTTCTGATTTCCTTCAGTCTATGAGTGTGCAGTAATTTCACTTTAAACGATGAAATAAACGTCACTTTTTAATGTTTTAAAGATCAACTAATTAGATTGTTTTTAAAACTGCTTTTACTATAGTGGAGGTCTGTATTCTACCAAAACTAGCATGAGGGTCCGAAGCTCCCGAAAATGATGTATATTTTATGAGTACCTACACCAAAGCTATTCAACTTGACGTTCCACTTTCTAGCAGGAAAATGATGATAATGCCAAATGCAAAGGGTTAAGAAAGTGGTGGCAAAGTGAATTTCACAAACCATGTTAGGTCAAGGATTTTTAAAACTGGAAATAGTCGCCTATCCAGTAAGCTATTACAATGACTTCAAAGCAAGTGTTTCTCCACCAGGAGCCATCTTCCCACACCCTCAGGGGACATCTGGTACTATCCGGGGACCTTTCTCGGTGTCACAACTGGGGAATAGGGTTGCCACTGGCACCCTATTATGTAGAGACCAGGGATGCTGCTCAACACCCTACATGCAAGACGGCCCCTCTGAACAAAGCCACAAATGTCAAGATCGAGAAAGTCTACTTAGGAGTAATCGTGCCTTAAGGGGGGTAATACTCATCATCCTGTTCATGAAAATGCCGCCATCTTGGGCCTCCCTGGTGGTGCAGGCGGTTGAGCGCTGCACTGTGAAGCTGTCCACAGCCTCTGCAGCGCGGGTTCGATCCTGGCTGGCCTGCGAGAATCCACATGGCGCAGCAGACCTCTCCTGTCTCGCCCACTGCTCCCCTCAGCCGTGTATTTCTTCAGTCTGCCTGTTCTGTTCCCTGCTCTGTCTCTGGTGAATCCTCTCACCCTCCCGCACATCTGGCCTGTACCCCAGTTCTTGTATAAAAATCAATAAATCTTAAAAAAAAAAATGCCGCCATCAAACAGACATAATGATGAGAAAGGCTAAAAGGGAAAACTGGAAGCAACTATAGTGGTGGTCAGTACAAAGGTAATGAGATTTAAAAAAAGTAAAGATGACTTAGAAGAAAAAACAGATTATTTGATGACAAGTGAAGACTTCGCTAGGCGCATGTTTTAGCCTCCCCAGCAGAAAGAAGCAGTGGCCCATTCCAACAAAGAATAGCCCTCCCAGGAAGAAGCCTCCATCTCTAAATAGCTGGTCCAAGAGATCTGACACTTATGTTCTTGTTCAGTCCTGGACTGAGATTCTTCTCTGCGAGGAAAGCATCAGCCACAAGCTGGAAAGTCGCTATTAAATCATCCACCAGATGAATAAAATGAGAGTTCCCGTAACTCCTGCCCATAACTCTAACTTTCCATCCTTTTAATCATCTTTGCGGCTTCCCACTGAGTCTTCTCTGAACCTGTCCTCCCTTAATTGCAGAGCTCAGGACTAGCAGCGCCCGAGCCCCGCTGAGCAGACAGAGCCTCATCCTCACAAGCAGCCCCAAGAGGTGAAGTCCCACTGACCAGGAATTCGAACATGGGTGACACGTGGCCCTGATGTGTGACAGCAAATATGGCCACACTGCCCAGGTGGTGCCAGCTGATTTCTCTAGAATAGACAATGACTGTGGATCGGCATTCCAGAGACGGATGGGAAATAACATTTCAGGGCCTCCCTGGTGGCGCAGGGGGTTGAGCACCGCACTATGAGGCGGTCCACAGCCTCTGCAGCACGAGTTCGATCCTGGGCCAGCCAGGGAGCAACCCACATGGCGCAGCAGACCTCTCCTGACTCGCCCGCTGCTCCCCTCAGCAGTGTACTTCAGTCAATCTGCCTGTTCTGTTCCCCACTCTCTCTGGTGAGTCCTCTCACCCCCTGCATCTCTGGCCTGTACCCCAGCTCTTGTATGCATAAATAAAATAAAATCTTTAAAAAAAAAAAAAAAAGAAAGAACATTTCAGCTTCATGTGAGCAGCCAGTTACTACAATTTTAGACATGATGTGTATGGAAAGTCCTTATTCACCTCATTTACCACTCTTGTCTTATCCAAACCACTGCAGATCTATTGTCATTGCTCCCAACTCCCCTGGAGCGAAAGTGGTATGGGGCAGCCGCTAGCTAAATGCAAACGCCATCTTTCTGAATTCACACAAGGGTATACAATTCTGCAAATGCAGATCCCAAACTTCTCCCCCAGTGGACAGGGGTCTGTTTCTGCAGATGAGGAAAACAGCTTTCCTGATTGCTCAGAGCGAAACACTCCTCGCCCTTCCACACGCCACGTAAATAACAGCCTCCACACTACTGCAGGTCTGATTGAAAGCATATAGGTATTATTTACACCGCACGTTGCCTCTTCAGACATTCCAAACATAGCTTCCGGGAGGGCACTGGCTGGCAAGCTTAAATTTCTCCTCTAGCTGGTTGATGACAATTATGCTTCCCACTTGATTACAGTAATGGGTTTCAGCAAAATTAGTAAGCTGTCTTAGCAGGTGTGCCGGGAGCTACACAATAGGTAATGGGCTGCCTGACATTTATTACTTTAGTTTTTAAATTTCAACCTTTGCTTAAAAGATTTTAGTGATTGAATAAATTTTTAAAGGCCACTGATTACATTATTTTTAAATAAACCCAGCCCTACTGACACAGCTTTTTAAAAATCTCATTATGTACAAGGCAATACTTAGCCTACAGGCACCTACCTGTTATGCGGCAGGACCTATAATAAAGAGAAACATCCCTGAACACACTCAGGGCAAATGTGCTATCGCGTCTAGACGACAGAACCAGGTGTTGCTGGGGGGAAGGTGAATATTTTAGAGCAACACTCCAAGATGAGAGGGTATCGCTTTATTTTATAAAGCCTTCGATGAAGATACTTTAAAGATATCTTAAGGGGCCTCCCTGGCGGCGCAAGGCATCAAGTCTCAGCACGATGGCTACTGGCAGCCACTGCAGCACGAGTTCGCTCCCCAGCCGGCCAGGGGACAAAGAACGCCGTCTCAGGCTCCACCGCCCTCTGACTGAATCAGACTCTGCATTCGCACCAGATGCTGGGCCATCTGACTACACCTTAAAGTGTGGGAGCGCCTAGCTTAAAGCCCTCCGACTCCCCAATTCTCTCACAGCTCTGGCAATCCAGGGGGAACACAGGCCCACCCACTCGCGCCTTTACTCACTTATTGCCAGGATCAGCTCCCTCCTCTGGGCAAATCCAATGAGGCGCTCGGAGTCTCTGGAGACCACCACGGGGAAGCCGTTGTAGTCGGTCTCCTTGATGAGCGTCTCCACGTCCTCCACCGTCATGCTGTCCTGGGTGAGCACGGACAGCGGCGGCTCTCCGCGCCGGGGCCGCATGACGTCGGTGGCCAGCGTGCGGTGGGTGAACTCGTCCTTCACGTCCAGGAACGGGTATCCATTTAAGTGGATGTGGGCCTCGTAGATACCCTCTTTGCCAAAGGCATCGGCCACCCACTTGCTGGTGACGGCCGCCGCCATCAGGGGCACAATGTATTCCAGACCGCCCGTCAGTTCAAACATGATGACCACCAAGGACACCGTCATCCTGGTCACGCCACCTGCCACCCGAGAGAGGAAGGAAATTCTGAAATTCAGCTCTGGTCCCTCGAGAGGACGTGGATTGTGGGAACTGATGAGCTGGTAGAAACTGTCGTTACGCCTGTACCAGAGGCCATGCCCACACTCTGTTAACGCAGCCTGTGTCAGGGAGCCGAAGGTCCCATCAGACTAGGGACTCCCCCCCAGCTAGGAACAGCTGGGTGTTCTATTCCCCAGGGCCCACACTCTTGGCTTTTTGGTGAGTGGCTCCTATGCGGGCTGTGCAGTTTCTGACTCAGCAAGTGTGGTTGTCTTTCCAGAGTCTCAGACATTGGGAAACTCTAGAGACTCTTAGCAGTGTGGACAGGAGAGAGTCCCTCCTTGTGTCCCTTGCTATTCAAAGGGCAAATCTGTCCCAACTCCCAGTCTTCCAATGAGCATCAACCAGAGTTTCTTGACCTCCACACTAGGAGCAGTGGGGCTGGATTGTTCTTGGCTGAGAGCGACCAGCCCGTGCACCACAGGGTGTTGAGCACTAGATGCCAGAAGCACCCTCCACCCCAAGGCTGACAACCAAAAATGTCTCCTGACATTGTCAAATGTCCCTGAGAGGAAGAATTACCCCTGTCTGAAAACCACTATTCTAGAAGGTACAGCTGCAAGATGGCAGAGACTCCATCAGCCTGGTCCCTGAATGACTGAGTAGAGCAAAGTCCTCTGCTAATTCACATCGTGCACACACACACACACACACACACACAGAGTTAATTCTCATTACTGTAAGCGGTTATGACCTAGAAAGTCGCCACAAACACTGAATTAGCAATCACTGCATCACTGCCCTGGGGAACATAAGGAGAGGTTTCTGCTCACAAGGTTTTTGTCAACCAATTAATACAAAACCTTATCTCATGCATATCTCTGTTCGCAGACACCCTCATCAAACACACCATTGAGTCACTAACACTGAAATCATCGCCAACAGTATCTCACACAGGCCTGAACGAAGCTGGTATGACACAAGTGCTTTCTCTGCCAGGGCGTCACACCCTAGTGGCAATTAGGAACACCAGGGGCCATTCTAAACAGCAAAATCACTGACAAAAAGCACAGCCAGGCAAAGCACCTGGCACTAAATGGGCCACAAAAAGGGCACTTGTATACAGCGTGAGAGCTGAAACGGGACCGCTACTCTTCAACCTCAGCTGGGAACGTGCATGCAGAAAACTCAAGCTTTCTGCCACCCTGTGCACATCCAAGAATGACCATGAAAGCCCCACGAGCACTGATTTAGGGTTTCCAAATATTAGCTGGGTGGGCAAATATGCAAATGTGGAATCCAGGGATCTCAGATCAAGCACCAATCATGATGGAGGTCTAAGGCTGGGTGTGCGAGGCCACCGGGAGTTGTGGGCTTGCTTGTTACAGCAGCACAACACCCAGTATGGGTCTTCCTTCTCACCAGTCCTCAAATCTGGAGCCCCTAGTTGTACCCCACCTGCGGTCATACCTAGGCAGGCTGCCGCTCCCACCATTGCATACAGTCCTGGGGTGACACAGTCTGCCCCGGGCCTGCACCAGTTCCTGAAGATGATCCAGTCATGGTGGTGGTAGGCCAGCTGCTCCACGCCGATCCCCACCATCCTGCCCGCCATCGCTCCCACGGCCATGCTGGGGATGAAGAGGCCCGACGGGATCTGCAGGGAGCACAGAGAGCAAAGCAGCCTGAGGAAAGGACTCCGATTCCAGCTTCGCCACCGCAGGGCACGCATCCCCCTCGACAAGCGCACACTTTGCCGCAGTCTTCCAAGGAGGCGCCCAGCTTCAAAAAAGGTCAGTTGGGAAAAGATGGGACCAGCAATTTCACCTGCTTAGCCAGTCGAGTCTGCTGCGACTGGGGGAGAATGCAGTTTTACACTTGCACGTCCTCTCCCTCACACGCTGGCTGGGCTGGCCCGCTGGGGATCAAAGAATGACAAGCCCCACAGCAAATGGCACTCAAAGTGAGCATCCACCACCTGAGACGACCGCCCCGCGCTCCCCTCGCCACCCGATCCGGTCGGCTTTTAAAATTAAATGTCGAGCCACAGTGTGAACATGGAGAAGAGCCTACAGCTTTCACAGGTGAAATAAAGAAAGAAAAAGCCTCAGCGCAGCAGCCCTGGACCTTCCAAAAAGCTTTTCCTGGGCTTCCTGACCTCTTCAAGGTATAGTGGCCAAACACCTTTCAGCGAGCGAGAAACAGGGGTGGCTCCTCTTCCTCACAAAGGACATTTCCTCACAAAGGACATAACCTGCCTCTCAATATTTTCAAGGCGGGTTACAGGCAGCAAAGAAATAGCTCATGGGAACGAAGAGGTTGCTAGTGTCGGGTGTGCCGTCCATTTTGCTGTGTGAAAATACTTTCTCTAGTGATCACACATGTGCCACAGGACACGCCTGGCTCCCCACGTACAGAGATCGTGTGTGAACGCCGATGCTGAGGGGGAGCTGTGCACAGGCCTCCTCAGACTGGCGTCCATCTGAGGCTAGAGGAAGCCTGCCTTAAACCAGAGTCAAGTTTGGATCTTAGGGTGTAGTTTCTAGAGCTTGGGACTGTTCCTTTCAGAGCTGCCTTTCATCCCTCATTTGTTTCATCTCCGTAAATTCCAAGTAGGCTTCTCCCAACAGACACGAAAACACGCTGCTGGCATCTTCCTCAGACATGAAAATAAATCCCTTTTCTAGGGGATGATGGATCAGAGACCACGGCTGTTTAATCAAGGGCGCCCGTCCTTGACCTGAGGCAAGAATTCAGTTTCTGTCTGACCGTGAAATGCTCAAGGACAGCTTTGCGGAAGTCTTAAAAAGAAACAAATCGTGGGCCTCCCCGGTGGCGCAGCGGTTGAGTGCTGGGTTGCGAAGCTGCCCGCAGCCTCTGCAGCGCCGGTTCTATCCCCAGCTGCTCCCCGGCCACCGGAGGAGGGTCCCACATGGCGCGCAGACCTCTCCTGCCGCCCGCTGCTCCCCTCAGCAGTGTCCTTCGGTCCTTCTGCCTGCTCTGCTCCCCGCTCTGGCTCTGGTGAGTTCTCTCACCCTCCCGCGCTTCTGACTGTACCCAGTGCTTGTATAAATAAATAAATAAATAAATAAAATAAATCTTTAAAAAAAAAAGAAACAAATCGCTATAGCACATAGAAAGCAATAGTAATAGGATGCAACAGGGGTCTTGGGGCTGGGCCACACTCCAGGGAGGCGGGTCCCAGCTGCTACTTGCACAAGCCCGTGTGCGCTGAGAAAACTGCGCGGCTGTCCGCGCCTCTGCGTGAGCACGATACTCTGAGGAGGCGCTTCCTTGCTTGTAAAATGGGATCGACTCTCTACTTCTAAATGCTCGTCATCACTGATCATCAAGGAGAGGCCAACCAAGACACAGTGAGAGCCCCTCACCCCGTGAGAACAGCCCACGTCAGAAAGACGGGAAACCACGCGCGCTTGTGAGCGCGAGGAGGGCAGGGAACCCTCGCTCGCTGTGGGTGGGGACGCAAACTGGGGCAGTGTCTGTGGAAAACAGTCTGGAAATTCCTTTGAAAACTAGAACGGCAACGCCACAGGATCCAGCAATCCCTGCGGGCGTTTATCCAAAGAGCATGAAAATGCTCATTTGAAACGAAGGCCGCACCCCAATGTTCCTGACGGCGTGGCTCGCGGTCAAGACAGGGAGTCGACCTAAGCGCCCGCTGCCGCAGCCCGGGGCAAGGCAGCCGTGTGTGCACGGAACACACGCGGCGATTACAAAGGAGGGACTCTTGCCCTTTCCCCCGACGTGGACGGAACTCGGGGTGACCGTGCCAAGTGAAGTCAGCCAGCAAGTGAGAGACAACTGGCCTCCTTCATTTGTGGAATCGAAATAAACAGCCAGAGAACACGCCCCGGCGAAACAACAAAAGCCATTCTGCGCGTGGATGATAGGATGGCGACCGGGGGGGGAGGGGGGAGCGGGGGGACAGGGAAGCGGGGGGCACCGTGATGGTGAGAGGATGCTAGGACTTTAATGGGAGTGAGCGAAGCGTGAACGCGCGCGGCAGTGTGAAGCCGTCCTCCTGAAACGACAGCTTTGTGAAACAACACGGTAAATCACTGAAATTCTATTTTAAAAAAATCCCCATTTCACAGGCTCGCTCACGGAAAGCAGCTTTCTTACTGGTTAGAGGACGGCAAGTGCCAAGCACAGGAAAACACTTCCCATCACAATTTTGTTCTGGGGCGCGGGGGGCTACCCCAGAAGGATGTGGGTGCCCCCCCTCCACTGACCTTCATGCCAAAGGTGAAGATGGTGATGACGATTTTGAAGATGAGCGCCAGGGCGAGCTGCCACATGGCGGTGTAGACCCCGACTCCGGCGGGCCGGTCCGGGATGTCGTCCACGGGCCGCGTCATGTTGGGGTCATTGATGTAGTCGCAGAGCTGGGAGGACTCCAGGGCCCCGCAGTCGTTGAACAGCTCCGAGATGAGCTCGCTCGTGCTGCGGCGCGTGTAGGGGTTGGGGTAGGCCGCGATGGCGGTGATGGCCGTCACGGCGATGACCTCCAGCACCGGGTACTTGCCCAGCTTGGTGGTTTTGCGCCTCCGGCACCAGGCGATGTTGCAGCGGATGAAGAGGGTTCCCCACAGGCCCCCGAAGACCCCAAGCAGGATGAAGGGGAAGAGCTCGGCCATGTACCAGGGCGTGTGGTACTCCACGTAGAAGAGAACGAGGCGGCTGTTCCCGAAGGGGTTGATGGATCGCAGCGTGAAGGCCGCCACCAGGGCTGCGAAAAAGGAGCGCCACAGGGTCTTCAAGGGAAAGTAGTAACTGACCTGGGACAAAAGCAAAAAATCAGAGTCGGCTGAAGAAGAAAGGGCTCAGCACCCCAGGGCGCTGGCCGGTGGCCACCCGCAAATCAAGTGACAAGACACTCGAGACCGAAGCCCCGGGGCAGGTGCCTCCATCTAGTTCAACTCCAGCCAAGATGCTCCCACAAAGAGATTTGAAGAGCTGCCTGAGTCTAAAAGCAGCATGGCGACTGCAGAAGGTGGACTGGACCTTTTTTTTTTTAAGAAATGAGAAAACTCATCGTTATTCTGTTTGAGAAACAAAGGGTTCCCCAAAACTCTTACCCCCAAAATTGTATGAGCAATGGTTAAAACAATACTCAAAAAATAGGCATTGAACAGCTAAGTTAAGGCCCTTGAATAAACTTTAGGAATCTTGTTTGAAAGCCCCTTCAAATGTGATCCTCAGAGGGCTGAGGTGGAGGCCACCGCCATGCTCACCAGCCACAAATTTCTCAACCCCCAAAGCCACTCAGGCGCCCGCCTGCCCCGCCTCACCTCTTCCAGACTGAAAAGCACACCCCCGATGGGTGCGCCGAAGGCGACCGACACGCCAGCGGCCGCTGCAGCTGAAAGCACCTGCGAGGAAACGGCGACAAGTCAGTCAAGGCCTTTCACAGAATCCGGCCTTGCAGGTAAGCCCAGAGGAGGGAGTTTCCAGAAGACACTGTGGAACCGACTTTGAGTCAAACCCACTCGATCTTCTCTTAACAACCACGTTTAGCCTCTGGGTGAGCTGCTGAGCACAGCTAACCCGAACCACGCCCTCTGTGCCTCGGCGGCAACCACAGGACCACATCAGCTCTGGTTTCTCCTTACCAGTGACAAGACCGTTCCTGGACCGTCACCCTCAGCTCTCCGTGCAAAGACTCATCAACCCATCATAAGGCAAATGGACTCAAGAACCGACCCCAAAGTTCTGGAACAAATGGCCCAAGCTTGGACCACTTTGCTGTATGGTCCCTCCAAGAGGCCCCTGCCTGGACCCTGGTGGACACACCTGAGGCCGCCCCTTGCCTGTGGACCCAGCCGAGTCTCCAACAAGCGCCATCTTGATTATCTGCAGCCTAACGCCTCCCCACCAAGACCTGTGCTGCAGACGGACGCAGACCCGCTCACCTCACGCCTCTTGCCCTCGTTCTTGCTGTACTTGGAGAAAAGGCTGCTGAAGAAGTTGCCACAGCAACAAGCCACGTGCACCAGGGGCCCTTCCTTCCCAAGGCTCAGGCCCGAGGACACCACCAGCACCAGGGTCACCGTCTTGATCAGCAGGGTCCACTTCCCCAAGTAGCCCCTGATGATAAAGCCACTCAAAATAGTCTTTATCTGAAACAGAGGACAGAGACGCGGGGGGATGAGCTGCTGCAGCGCCTCAGTCACGAATAGTAATTACTGCAATTCCTGAGAAGCGCCGTTCAGGGTTAGAGTCACTGAATTAAAGGAAGAGGCTACTTCCGCTTTTAATTTAGCTACAATTCTATATTAGCAGAATTCTATATTAACATGTAATGTTAAATTTCATGAAAGAAAACCCGAGAAGAGCCCACGCCGGGGAGCGCCCGCGGCGACACGAGACGGTCAGGGAGCGCGAGAACCGCCTGGGAGGCCGCTCGGCCCCTGCTCCCGGCCCGCGCGCAGACACGGCTCGTCCTGGCGTCAGTGCTGACGACGGGGAGATGTCCGCGGCGAGGAGAGGGACGGCTGTCTGGTGACGCCACAGAACAAAACATCATTTGAACCCCAGGTCAGGGCTGACACACCTCTGCCGCCGTCTGCACGGCCCACGAGCCAAGCGCGCGCGCAACGCTTTCAAATCAAGAGTGTGGACAAGACGTGCTGGCGCCTCAGGGAGAGGCTGCCTGACGCCGCCTCTTGGCTCCCTGGGCCTAACATGTTAACCTCTGCCCTGCGCGGAGTTAGCCGCCCCAGCCAGCAGCGAAGGGCAGGGGCTGTTTACTGTCCAATTCTCTCCACTTTCCTGTCGGTCTGAAAATATTAAGACAATGTGGATGCTGGAGAAGATGCTCAACACCCAGTGATGCACCTGCGGGGAACAGACGGCGTCGGGCTCCACGCCACCCCTTCTCGCCGTGACCCCTGCCCTCCTGCACCGCAAAGGACTCTGGCTCCAGGTGGAGCCGTCTGGGTCCGTCTGCAGACCGGCCTCCTTCCGCAGATGCTCAAGAGCGGCTCTCTTCCAAAGGTGCCCAGGAGCCTTCCCAGAGCTTTCAGAATTCAAGTGGGTGCCAGTCTCGGCGATCCATCCCCCATGTTCAACTCCTCTTCCTCCCAGTTCTGCTGCAAACGGAGCCTCGCCAACGGCTGGAATACCTTTTTTCTTTTTTTCTTTTTTTTTTTTTTTTTGTCTTCAACCTCTCCCCACAGTCGCCTGAGATGGAGTGAACGTTTACCCACTCCTGGCTGGTGAGTTGGAAGCCGCCACCACTCGTCAGAACAGACGGGGTCGGCCAGTGAGCTGCACGGCCGCGTTCTCTCTCCCGTTGTACCACAGGGAACAGGCCACTGTCACCTCTCGTCAGTGTGGAGATTTCCACATAACCTCAAAATGTTTCCTTTTGAGGTTCATCGTTCAGTCAAGAGATCAGATTCTCAAAGAGCTATCATAGGCCTCAGAGGGGGCGCCCACTGGACCACCTGGGAAGTTGGGACCCCCCCCTGAGGACCGGCTCACCCCACCGACGTGGCGGACTTGCTCTGCGACCTCCTGGGCATGGGGGTTACACCCCCCCAGGCGACTCTGAATGCAGCCCAGGCAGAAGACAGCCCCATCCCTGAAAAGGCCATACAGGTCCCAGGTACCCCGAGTTTCTCAACATTTCAGGGTCCGTCCTGAAACGCTCCTCAGCATCACGGTCACTCTGTTTGCGAGGAACACGACGAGCCCGTTTCTATAAAAGCAGGGGGCTCCTGGCTGAGCGGCGGAGGGCGGCTGGGAACTAGCCTGTAACCGAGGGGAGACAGACGAGCGGTGGTTAAACCGCTCTCTGACTAGTGGTAGTTCACCTATTTAGTCTGTGCTCTGGGGATCTCAGCTCCTTTATTTAAGGGATGTTTTATTATGCCTGCCACAATCCTGCCCCTTTGTGTTGCCTCGAATAAAATTATCCATAATTTTTTGTCAGTTAGTTAATGTGGATTGGGACCCTGGGGTACAGTTTAAGAGTGTAATAGCGTTGGGAAAATTACAAGCATCTAAATTACCTGAGCCTTTGCCAGTCGTGACATGTGGTGAATTGAACAATGTAATAGGTATTTTGTAATTCTCTACAATGATTTTATAAAATTGTCATGATCAAATTAGGGGCTAAAGAAAGCAAATTCATTCCCAGTAGATGCCAAAATCCAATTGCTCGCTTTAATTTGAATGAATCAACTCTGAATGGAGCGGGGCTGTAACGAGATGCACGGCAGTGGATTTGTGATTTAGTGGCGTTGACTTGAAAACCTCTCTGGTAAATAAATATCGGGTTGTCGGAGAAGTCATGACGCATTTTTGTATAGAAAACAGAAAAAATACGTCATGACTTTTCCGACAACCCATCCCTGCAAAGGTGCTTGTGGCTCCTGGGGAAGTGAGACACGCACGCGTGCTAAGAGGACATGACTTCTTTGTAGAGTTGGCGGCAACACCAGTAGGAAGAGGGACACCCTTGCTCAGGTCTCTCTAAATTCCCAAGTCCAAGAAATTGTGACTGTGCCTTATAGAGCATCCGCAACAGCATTTCTTGCACAGAAAACTGCTTCTCGGGGCCTCCCTGGGGGTGCAGGGGTTAAAGATAGTGCTATAGGGCTGTCGCCAGCCGCTGCACCACGAGTTCAATCCCTGGCCAGAGAGCTGACCCACATGGGGCAGCAGACCTCTCCTGTCTCGCTCGCTGTTCCCCTCAGCAATGGAGTTCAGTAGATACACCTGTTCTGCTCCCCACTCTGTCTCTGGTGACTCCTCTCACTCCCCCACACACACCTCTGGCCTGCACCCCAGTTCTTTATGCATAAATAAATAAATCTTTTTAAAAAAAAAAAAACTGCTTCTCTACATTTGCATGTTGAAAAATGTTTCCACGGAATTTTCATTCTGAGTCATCCAAATGTTCCAGAAGTAAATACTAGGGAGGAGGAGCAATTCTGGAAATGTACAGGTCATTTTTGCCACACAGCAGACGGCCGCGAAGGATGAGAAGTCCAAGGTCTGAAGAGCGCCGTCGGCGCCCCGCTGACACGGAGAAGGCTGGCCCCGTATCTCCATTTGAGTGAAGTCGGTTTATGCGTTTAGTGGGGTTTTGACTGAGAGGAGGGTCTTTTCATCCATGAACTATTTATGTGCATTACTTTGACCCTACTTCCTCCAAGGGCGGGGTAGGAACTGCACCCCCGGGTTAGGAATTGCAAGCTCTACTATAATATAATAACGGAACTTTGCTAGGACTGAGTCATCATAAGCAAAATTTAATTCCAAAACCTCCATTGGGTTCTTGATTACTTTAAAAGATGATCTGAGTAGAAATGACTGCTCCGTGCTTCTGCGTGGCCAAAATATTAATCAAACAAGCACTGAGTTTCGGAAAAAGAAAAGTGGGAGCCTTTGAAAGCTGCGCGTGCTTCCCCCACCCGAACCCCGCCTTCCTCCCGGCCCCACCCCCGCCCCCCAGCCCTTCCCTCGACTTTCCTTTAGCTTCAGGACAGACGTCTCCACCTAGCGGGAGGCTGCTGCGTTTCGGCTGTTTACGGGCCGCACGTGAAGAGAATCTGACTTCACATGATCTTCTGCAAGTGACTTTTTCACTCGATACCATTGTTTCCTCGTCCCTCCATGCCCATCAGTGTGCACTTTGCTCACACGGGAAACCCAACGCTCAGCTCGGCGTGTCACTCCTTTCCAGCGCCGCTGTCTCCAGATGAAGGCGCCCGCTTTGGATGACCACCAAGCCCGGGCAGCCCCTCCCCGTCACGGCCCGTTTCCGAGCCCTCTGCCTGCCCAAGCTCACAGCCGAGCCACGCGGGCCTGGTTCTGGGGAGGGGGCGCTGGGGCTGCCCATCCCCCCTTGGACGGCGGCTGCACATTGTCCACCAACTCCCCCCGGCCATCTCTCCCCGTCTCTGAAAGGCTGACGTGAGACGCCCCTGCTGCTGGGAGCTGGGGTCTGAACCCGCGGCGGCAGCAGCAATCTTCGCTTGTCCAGGCGCTTCGGGCTCGGAGAGCGAGTCCTGCCGTCAGGCTTGCTGGGAAAGCACAGCTGCGTACCCACGCGACTCACGCCTTCGGGGAGAACGTGAGCACCATGCAACTTCCGTGTCTGTTTAAGCACAATTTCATCTGGGAGGGACACGGGGAGGGCAGAGAAGGAGCCGCAGCCGAACCGAGCCGTGCGTGCCCGGACCGTGGCCAGCTCCGGCGCGGGGCGCGTCTCTGTATCTAACGTTTAACACGCGCGAGACCACGCTGCTGCTTTTATTAGGTACCTATCATTTTTGTATGTGTCCCCGACAAAGTGCCCACCCCCATTTTCCTGTGCCTGTGTGGCTTTTATCTGCACTTTGCAGAGCGCCGCGATTCTAGGAACACGCAGGTGCCCCCAGCAGAACTGGCTGCGCCGAGCCGACAGCACGGCCCTGCAGCTTGCTTTCCCGGCTCCTGCAGCAATACGTCACTAGAGACCATCAAGAGGTCAGCGTGGCATGTTAAGGTTTTTTTCTGTCTTTCCTAGAACAAGACAACATTGAGGTTTTCTTTTGATTTCTTTAAAATTACTCCAGCCCTTTCCATGAACTGTCTGGAGCGGGATCCGTGCCGGCAGGAGCCACCCAAGAGTGTGGTGCCAGGGGCAGGGACCGAGGCGGCTCTGCTGCCCTCACTGGTCACAACTCCCAACTCAGCACGTCCCAGCTCCCAGCTCTGCATACTCCTGGAGCGCCAGCCTGGAGAAGCCGCAGCAGCCGCAGTGATAACGAGCGCTGTTCAAACAATTTCTGCCTAAAATGTTCACAGTCGGGGCTTTTCGGGAATTTGCTCCTTTATAGTTATTCTGCCCGGTAGGTCCTCCCAGTCATATATTTTTTAAGATGTATTTATTTATGCATACAAGAACTGGGGTACAGGCCAGAGGTGTGGGGAGTGAAAGGATTCACCAGAGCGGGGAGCAGAACAAGCGGATCCACTGAAACACACTGCTGAGGGGAGCAGCGGGTGAGACAGGAGAGGTCTGCTGCGCCCTGTGGGTCAGCCCCCTGGCCTGCCAGGGATCGACCTCATGCTATAATGGCCATCGATAGCTTCACAGTGCTGAGACTTAACCCCTTGCGCCACCAGGGAGGCCCAACGACATTGCATTTTTAAAGACTGTCATTACGCAGCCAGCAGAAGAGCAAAGGGTGTTTACTCATAAAGGGGATTGTTCATCAGTAAATTTCCTGAGCAGCAAATCTCCACCATTGTCCTTTTTCACATCCCCATCATAGACACCCTTAGCGGTGACGAAAGTGCCCCATTTACGGGTGTGGTTCTGGGCCCCGAGCCCCACTGGCTTTAAGAGTTACGCCTGGGCCCCCTGGTGGCGCAAGGGTTAAGCACCACACTATGGAGCAATCCGCAGCCTCTGCAGCACGAGTTCGAGTTCATCCCCAGCCGGCCAGGGAGCAACCCACATAGCGAGGCAGACCTCTCCTGTCTCCTGTCTCGCCCGCTGCTCCCCTCAGCAGTGTATTTCTGTCCATCTGCCTGTTCTGTTCCCCGCTCTGTCTCTGGTGAATCCTCTAACCGACCCCCCCCCCCACGCATCTCTGGCTTGTACCCTAGCTCTTGTATGCAGAAATAAATAAATCTTTAAAAATAAAAAATTAAATTAAATTTAAAAAAAGAGTTACACCTAATTTGCAAAGACAAGAGTTGTGTCATTTGGGAAGCAACAGAACACAATGCTGAAGCCAACCCCTGCGGTCAGCCCTGACTTTCCAGCTCCGTGACCTCGGGCCAGTGGCTCAACCTCTCACTTCCATTTCCTCAATGTTCACTGAGGCTTTGTCCCCGTCTCACAGGCAGATGGTGAGGCATAAATAACTTAATAGATGTCACTGCCTGGAACTGTCCTTGGCACCCAAGTGCTACCTATTCGCCCTTACTGCTGGCACAAAAGGAATTCAGACCCCACTCACCTCAGGTATACCTGAGCCACAGGCGTAGGGCGCAAACACCCGCACCAGGGAGACAGCCAGAAAGGCGAACAGCAAGGCCCACAGGATGTACATCAGGTAATTGACAATGTAGGCGCTGGCACCCTATGCGACAGAGCAAAAAGGACAATGTGAGCCATCGCATTGAGCCCTGACCCCTGGCCCCCCCCGCCCCCCCCACTGGGAGCCCAGAAGCTTCTCTCCAGTCCTGAGCCAGCGAACGGGGCCTGGTGTTGGCTTATCAGCTGTTGCCATCAGTGCCAGCAGCTCCATCTGCACAGACCTGCCACCGGGTGAAACTGATGGAGGACAGGAATAGACCCAAAAAAAACTAAAAAGGAGGCGCCACAAGACCAGAAACCTGGCTCACACCAGGAGGGGGGGTAGAAGAGATTAGCATAACCATCGACACAGTTGCAGAAACTAGTATCCTTAGGCGCAGACTATAGATATAGAGATGGAGCCCATTGTAGAACCCCCGTCCCTTTCAGATTCTACAGTTACCCAAAATTAGCAACCAACTGGCGCCTCACAGAGATGAGCCCCTCCCCACCAAAAAGAGCCCATAAAACCTAATGCCGCCGCCAGAGGGGTCGCTCTTCCTGCCCGCAGGTGTCCACGCAGGTGCACTTCACTCTTCTGTCCCTTTGCCTAATCAACCTGCCCTTTCAATGTAATGCCCGCCTCTGTCTCGGGGAGAAACTCGCCGCGTGCCGCTGAAAGGGGCGCTCCGGGGACACCGTTCCCAGAGTGAGCCCAAGGACCCTGCACTGACTCCAGCCCCATCAAACCCACGCAGCATGGAGAGGGGGAAGGCGACTCGGCTTTAATCGCCACTTGCAGTAGAGCTAAGGAGGGGTGTGACGCGGGAACGGGACCCCAGAAGGCCTCTCTCTTCTAGTCTGCGAGGTCGGCCTCCTCCAGCCTTCCTCAGGGCCGCAGCTATGCCGCAGCAAGCAACTGCGCTGCCAGGGACTAGGTGGGGGACTGAGCTCTAGGTGCTGCTACTCAAATCCAGTCCCAAGATGGGCAGCCTGGACATCACTCGGGCGCGGGGTGGAAATGCAGGCGCTCGGGCCCAGCACTGGGGAAACAGGCACTCAGGAGACAGCCCAGCAAAATGAGTCACCAAGTCCCCAGGGATCCTGAGGCCAGCTGACATTTCAGAGACACTCCCAGAGGGACAAGCATTCCCTGCCCCCTTCAGCATCATGCAGCCAGCCGCTTCCTCCAAAGTGTCTGACGTGGGGAGATGCTCTTCGAGCTGAACGCGCCACCCAGGGCCTCTGAGACTGGGGACCAGGCCCGCCATGTCTCCAGGCCCCAACTGCTTGCCACCATCTGGTTTGCTCAAGGGAGGGGAAGGAAAGTGAGGTCACCTGCAAGCCAGACCCTGGACGCAGCCGCACATGGGCCTATTAAATGCAAACTCGCGTTCCGAAAGACTAAGGGCGCTGGCCTTTGCGATCGCGTGTATTCACACCGGATGCAGTGAGAAATCGGGCTGAAGAATGTATTTCACCCACTTGGAAATGTGTTGTTTCAAGACCAAAAATAACTTCTCACTCTCGCTAACAGTAATTCTTTGAATCAAAGTATGCATCTCAGAAACAGTTGAGAAGATGGACGGCTATCTCCCCAAAAACATTCTGTAAGTAGGAGAGAAATTAAACATGGCGGCCAGCCAATTCTGCCTGCCTGGTCCCATCAACCCGAGGAGAGCGTTTATTTTTGGAGTTAATGGAGAGCACTGAGAACGTGTGAGATTTCAAGATCGCTGTCTACTTCTGAGATTTGAAGGAATTCATTTTCAGTTCCACCAAGGAAGAGATTTAGCAGAACGGCAACGTGCATTCCAAATGTCTTTAACTGTGGTAAGTTAATCAGGCAAAAAAGTGGGGAGGAGATGTTTAAACAGCTTACATCTATCTTTCCAGAATATTCTAGGTTGAATGGTCCTCACGTTACTCCTAATGTGAATCTTGACAACCACGCTCCCCCACCCCCAAGCTTCTGATCTGTTGGTGACCCATGGTCATTGTGGTGACCACTGAATTTGGTTAAAAAAATTAACCCCTTTCCTGAACTGTGATTTTTACACAGAGCTGCAGTTCTAAGGACTACAAAGGCAAGCACCTAGTCCTCAGTTCACCTCTCCAACCCCTGAGCCCGGGACATCCCCATCTGAGAAGGTCCAGAAACACCCTCTGTGGTGTGCTCCTAAGATGCATTGGAAGATAATAACTTCAACCCCAATGAGACAATTCACACCTGCGAGGACGGTATAATCAAAAGCAGATCACGGCAACTGTTGGTGAGGATGTGGACAAATTGGAACTCTCATACGCTGCTGGTAGAAACATAAAATAGTGCAATCACTATGGAAAACAGTCTGGCAGTTCCTCAAAAGTTTAAACATGGCATTCCTTTATGATCCAAAGATTCCACTCCTAAGAATCTACCTGAGAGAACTGAAAACATACCTCCACACAAAAACTTGTACACAAATGGTCAACGCTACATTGTTTATAATAGCTCAAAAGAGAAACAACCCGTGTTCATCAACTGATGACTGGATAACTAAGTTGTGGTCGATGCATAGAGTGGAATATTATTCAGTCACAAAAAGGAACAAAATACTTATTTATGCTACAACATGGACAAACCTGAAAAACATTAAGCTGAGTGAAAGAAGTCAAACACAAAAGTCCACATTTTTGTATGATCCCATTCATGTGAGATGTGCAGGTGTAAGCAAGTCCATCGAGACAGAAAGTAGATCAGTGATTGCCTAGGGCGGGCCGGTTGGGGAGAAAATGGCGAGGGACTGCTAATGGAGACAAGGCTTTTTTGAAGAGGATGAGAATGTTCTAAAATTAGATTGCAGGGATGGATGGTCTCACAACACTGTGAATGTTCTAGAAATCACTGCATCATGTCTGTACGGGGAGTACACACCGAATGCAATTGCTTTCTTACAAAGGTTGTTATTTAAAAAAAAGATAACATCTTTTCTCCTCAACTAATTAGGTCTAAAAATCAACCCTATTTCTTCAGCACGATCAGCAGATCATTCTAGGTAAGAAAAATAAGGCCAAACACCAGACTTTAAAAAATAGTCATGTGACTGGGAGAACATTTTTGCACACAACACTAATGATAAAGGACTGATCACAAAAATCTGCAAAGAGCTGATGAGACTCAACAACAACAACAAAGAAAATAATCCAGTCAAAAAATGGGCAGAAGAGCTAAAAAGAAATTTCTCTGAAGAGGAAATGCAAATGGCCAACAGGCATATGAAAAAACATTCAACATCACTTGTAACCAGGGAAATGCAAATCAAAACTACCATGAGATACCATCTCACACCAGTGAGAATGGCACATATTAAAAAAACTAGCAACAACAAATGCTGGCGAGGGTGTGGAGAAAAAGGAACTCTCCTGCACTGTTGGTGGGAGTGCACACTGGTCCAACCACTATGGAGAGCTGTGTGGAGATTTCTGGACCTACTAAACATAGAGCTTCCATGTGATCCAGCAATTCCACTCCTAGGTATTTACCCAAAGGACACAGAAACATCCATTCCAAAGAGCACCTGCACCCCTATGTTTACAGCAGCACTGTTGACAATAGCTAAGCTTTGGAAACAGCCCAAATGCCCAAAAATAGATGACTGGATCAAGAAGATGGGGTCCATATACACCATGGAATATTACTCAGCATTCAAACAAGATAAACACATGCAATTTGCAGCAACATGGATGGAGCTGGAAGGGATCATGCTCAGCGAAATAAGCCAGAAAGAAAAAGAAAAATACCGGATGGTCTCACTCATAGCAGGAATCTAGAAAACTTAAATAAGGGACCAGGAAAAAGAATAACTACAAGAAAGTGAAAATCAAAATCAACAAGCAACTATGAACCAGAGACACTCTATGGGGGGTGGGGGGCGGGGAGGAGAGGGATTGGGGTCAAAATAACGGGGTTGCAATTGTATGGGGAATATAAAAATAAAATTTATTAAAAAAAATAAAAAAATTATAGTAAACATTAAAATGAGAATTCTGAACTGTCAAAAAAAAAAAGTCATGTGTGGCTTAATGTGGGGAACACGTTGAGAACTGTGTGGCTAGTTGACGTGGTTGTGCCAACAGCAGAGTACTACTGTGAACCTGGTGGCACCGCCTGCGACCCCCGAGGCCGCAAGGGGTAGACTGCTGAGAACTTGGCGGCGGGGGGGGGGGGGGGGGGGGGGGACATCCACGTGGTGGCGCGTGACTGCTCAGTACCGGTACGCTGTGCCCGCACGGCAGCACGGCAGGGCTGTACAAATGAAGTCTGAACATCAGAGCCAGGAAAGGCCAAAGGCTACGAGTCCACTCACGTGCGTGGACGCTGGCAGGAGCCAGTGCTTGCAGATGAAAGCAGACACAGAAAGCTGGGTGGCAGGGAGTCCCCGAGCCCAAGAGATGGCAGGAGGGCCCAGCCAGGCGCCCACCAGACACCCACCTCCGACTGATTCACCAGCAGCTCCGACCATTTCTGCCACAGAGGACACTTGTCCCTGTCCTCAAAAGTGGTCTCGTTGGAGGTCCAGCAGCACTGCTCGTGGCTGTACCAGAAGGCGGACAGGCAGACCCCCTCCTTCAGGTCGGTCATCCAGTCGACAGCGAGATCGATGACCCCAGCCAAGGTGCCTGAAAGCAGACAAGCCACTCAGAGAAAGCACCGGGCAGATGCTAGGACGAGCGTGGGTCAGCGCGGAAGGCCACACGCCAGAGGGGGAGGAGAGCCCCACCCCACTGCACCCACACAGGAAGCTCCCGCTGGGAAACCTGAGGCCCCCTGAGCCCTGACAGTGCGGGCAAGGCTGTGCCCAGTCCAGGGAGATGCAGATGCCAATGACCTGCCATCCTCGGTGGCTTAAGTCAGGCAGGACAGAGACGCGGGTCTTTCCTGACCACAAGCCATGGCAGCTTTCGGAATTCATGTCTTGCGAACTTTAGAACTAAGATGCACACACGGAAATAACATGGCCCCTCGGTGGGTGCTGCGCTGGGATGCTGGGAACACACACGCTGGTATTTCTCAGAGAAACGTGACAATTCTGCGAAAATGGAGGCACAACAACAGCCACTAGCAACCGAAGTTGGAGAAAACTCACTTATTAGAACTTTCTGGATTTTTTAAATTACAAATAAGGGATTATAGGTCTATGTCAGTAAATAATGAAAGGCTGATATAAGTGGAATGATAAAATAGAGTGGGCTGTGGGTCACAGAAGGCTACCTTGGGCCTCTGTCTAGAACAGTCTTTTGTAGTCTCTTATTAGGTAGGGAATATACTTTCAAGTTACTTAATTTTTCTAAGTGTTACTGGATCTGTATTCCAATCTCAATTCCTCACCTGCATCAACACCTAAGCCATCCCACCTACCTGCATGAGGGTTCCCTGATCCCTGATCCCCTGTTCCATCAGAAGTCACCCACTGTTTGGGGGAGAAATGGTTACACCCTCAAACAGCCGGCTCCTCATGTCTCAGAGCACGCCCCTCATCAGGCTTTCTTCTCTGCATCATCTCAGGCAGTATTGTCCTCCCCCAAACCAGCACATGCCTATTACCTTCCAGATGCCAGCATCTTCATCACCTCCTTCAGGAAGCCTTCCCTGATTTCCTAAGTCTGCAGTAGGTGTCCTTGCCAGTCCTTGCCTGATCACCATACCTGTCACATCCTGCTATCGAGACTAGTTACCCATGTATGAATATGTGTGTCCTGTTGTCTGAATGAATGTATGAATATGTGTGTCCTGTTGTCTGGTTTGCATGCCAGGAGAAGTCAGGTTGGATGTCCAGGCCCTCTGCCACTCAGTGGGTGAGAACCATGTGCCTTGCCCACTGTTGGCTCAGTTTGTGGGCAGACAGTGGGAGCTGCACACCCGTGCTGAATACACGAGTACAGTGAAGGAATGAAACCCAGAACACTCAGGGCCAGCCAGTCATCCTGTTTACCGGGCACCTACTTCCCATGCGCCAACCCCGCGCCACGCCCTGGGGTCACGGAGTGCACAAAACAGACTCGGTCCCGTCTTCAGGAAATCACACCTCGAGGGGGGAAAGACTCCAGACAAAATAAGTACATTAGAAGGTGCTAAGTGCTAAAGAAAAAAATACACGTGCTACAACTGCGCAGCCGCAGCGGAAACAGTCTGGCAGCGCCTCAAAAAGTTAAAAGTCACCAGCAGAGCAGCAGAGCAGCAATTGCTCTCCGTGGGATACGCCCCAGGGAAACGAAAACCTCCGTCCACGTGGGCAAAGACTTGTCACAGCAGCCCCATTCACAAGAGCCCACGAGGGCGACAGACGCGTGCCCCCGCTTGCCGAGTGGAGAGACAAAGCGCCGACCGGCCCTCCGCGGCATGGCCACACCGCAGAGCGGATCCACCTGGAAAACGTTCTGAGCCAAAGAAGCGAATCACAAGCGATCACATGTTGCAATCACATACTCTGCCATTCCACTGGTACGAAATGTCCAGACCAGGCAGATCCGGAGGGACAGAAGGTGGATTCGTGGGTGCCCGGGGCAGGGAGGAAACTGGGGCTCGACAGCCAACATCTCTGGGACAAATGTAAATGCTCTAAAACTGAGAAAAGAACAGCTACACACATCTGAGCACGTTAGAACCCCTGAGTGGTACACTTTACCCGGGGGAGCTGTATGAAGCCGTGATAGACTGTGGGTGAGGGGGGTGAGGCTCGGAGACGGAGCAATGCAATTTTCATAAAAGGGGGCCAGGGCCTCCCTGGCGGTGCACGGGGTTAAGGCTCAGCACGATGAAGCTGTCCGCAGCCTCTGCAGCACGAGATCCATCCCCGGCCAGGGAGGTGACCCACAGGGCGCAGCAGACCTCTCCTGTCCCCTCTGCTCCCCTCAGTCATCCTGCCTGTTTGACTTTCCACTCTGTCTCTGGTGATTCCTCTCACACTCCCCCTTCTGCACCTCTGGCCTGCACCCCAGTTCTTGTATGCATAGATAAATAAATCTTTAAAAAAAAAAAAAAGAATGAGAATTTCAAAGATAAAAAAGGGGGAGGGTCAGGGAACAACTCACATGGAAGACGAAAGAAGGTATAGAAGCAGTCCTCCAGACACCCAGGGGCAGAACCCAATGATCACCCCGAATTCCACCCACCTTCATCCCTAAGCCCCGTGTCCCACATTCCATTTCCCTGCCGCCTGCCTCTGAAGGGCGGCTTTCCGCTGCCTTTGGTGGAACAACAGCGACACCCAGTGGTAGCTCCTGAGAACTGCCCTGCAGGGGAGCCGCCGCCTGGGCCTCTTCTCTGGGGAGTTAGAACATAAAGGCCAGCTGCCACCGACGGGGTGACAGGCCAGGCAGTGGGACCCCTGGGTCCTCTCCACCTTCAGCTAGTTGGAACAGGAAAATGGGGTACAGTTTGCGGGGTTTCCCTTCATCTTCAATATCAACCATGCTGTGCGGTCAGGAGACGCTCCCCATTCCAGCCACAAGGGCCCACCTCTACATAGGCCCTACCGCACTGCCAGAGAGGGGGGGCGGGGGTCAGAGCGCCCAGGTTCACACAGTTACACTCTGGGACGAACGCTCTGCACCCCACTCACCTAAGGATGCAAGAACATGTTAAGCGACACAGGACTCCACACTTGCAGCTGTGGCCGTGGGCCCGCCCTTCTCCCTGGCTCTCTCCCCTGGCTGCACTGAGGGGGCTTTACTCAGTGCTGGGGCGCCATCTCCAGGGGTGCTATTTAACTGAAGCCCAGGCAGCAGTATTTTTCTTAATGCCCCAGGAGAGTCTCCCTGAAAGAGGTGGTGGAATCAGGCCGAGCGTGAAGCCAACTGGCCAACACCAGATCTGCTAAAGCTATAGCCTGACCAGGCTCTTGGGCTAGTCCCTAAATCCACGCGGACTGTTGACTCTGGCAAGACGCCAGAACATCTACTCTGGGTTTTCATTTCCCGCTTCTTTCTCTTTCCCAGGAGCCAAGAATAACGATCTGGAGTACGGCTTTACAAATCTATTCTAAATAAAGACCTCAAAATTCACAGTTCCGCCGCCTGCAGATGTCTTCGTAGAAGCAGTCTAGCCGGTTGGTGGCCAAGCGCCGTAGACATCCGAGAAGTCCCCCTTCCGACACGGCCGCCTCACCTGCTGCGGGAGCCCCGGGGAGGAGGGCCAATGGGCGGACAGCCACGGCCGCAAGAACTCCCCGGGACCCGTGCCTGGCAGAGGGAGCCTCTCTCTGGCCCCCAAGACCCCCTAGGATCGTGTATGGAGTAAAGGCGAGGGCGCCCACCAGGGAGCCCCTCCAGAATCACAGCTCTTCCTAGGCCGCAGTGTTCTCTCTGGGCGCATTCCCCGGTCTCTGCCCGCGCCGGTCATTCCCTACCAACTCTGCGGTGACTGGAGGCCGGGGCGGCGTGCGGGGACACCAAGCATGCTCGATTTTTATCAGTCTTAGACATTAACCCCCACAGCCTCCTGGAAGGAAATAAGGCTCGGGAAACAATCTCCAAGGAGAGGTGGTGTGCCTGATACCATGTTCTTCCCTCCAGGTATTCGTCCATCCGCTCTGGAAACATCTACTGCTCACAGGCGTGGGGCTGGGATAACTGCGAAGGCCCGGAGGCCCTGCAGATCCGAACAAAGTAGGGACAAAGGGGCCTCCCTGGCCCTCTGGACACACAGGGCTCTCGAGCGCTCTTGGAGCATCTGAGGATGTTCACGCTTCGGTCCGGGACGGCCAGGACGCGTGAAGGCCAGTCTCATGGTGTTTTACTATTCGAGATCAAACTTTCCCCACACCCTGCTGCCATCTACGTAGCCGAGTACCACAGATCATAAAATGTGTGTTTTCAATAAAACCCAGCATGGCCATAAACCCTCGCGCTGCCTGGCCCGGCCCGGCGCTGCAACGACGCTCGCAGGCGAGAACCCTGGGCCCGCGCCCGGCCTCCCTCACCGGTGCTAGGTTTTATGTCCAAAGGAGGTCATGCCTTTGCCTCGATAATTCCAGTAACACATTCCTCGCACGGGGGGAAAGAGAAACACCCTGCAATCAGACGCTTCCCCAAGAGCTGGCGCTGGGACTTCGGCCACGTACCCGCCAGCAGGCCGATGAGCAGCATCACCACCCATCCCGACCAGGCGTCCAGCAGGCTCTTGATGAACTCCCATATGGACTCCTTGCTCTTGCTGGTGATCTGGAAACGAAGCAAGGACAAGCGGTTGACTGGGTACATTCCCAGCCCACACTTCCGTCCGCGCCACACTCCCCCTGGGAAACAGCAGGAGCGAGGAGAGGACTGCAGCGACAGCCACTCAACCCCACGTCCGTTCGTCCCGCGGGGCCCGCCACCACGGTAGAGCGGGCGGTCTTGCGCGCAGAGCCACACCAATGCCACAAACCCTCCGAAGACTCCCAATCCAGGAAAATGCCCTTAATCACAAAAAATTCCTAAGTGTGATTTGAGCTTCGATTATTTAAAAGCCCCCCGAAGGGAGACGGTCGGTGTGGGGTCGCCATTTTGAATATGGATGACTCTTTCCACTTACATCGTACGGTGTGTTCACGAAAGAACCTCTCCGAACTCCTCATTCCCTTCTTGTGTTTCCAAGGCTCAATTTTCCCAGCAAGATCATGGGATTCGCTAGCACGGGCGGTGCTCACCGCGCAGACGGGTGTGCGTGAACCAGGCAGGGAGCTCACCTCACCGCCCTGTTACCCGAACCCACCTCCGCCGAGACCACCCCTGGCGAGTGAAGGCTGCCCCTCTGCCCATCCTTCCGTGCCGAGCCCGGAGGCTGCTTCCACCCCTTGATCTGCCTGCTTCTGTGTCCGCCCCCGCCACCTCCCCATCGTGCCCGCGGGACCTCGGCAGGGCCCCGGGTCCTGGGTCTCCTCACTTCTCCCTCCACACACCAGGCCCCGTGGCCACGTCTCAAGCTTCAGCACCCATTCCAGCGCTGACCCTGCTCTTGAGCGTGCTCCACCTGCGACCACCCGCCCCCAGCCGCGGGCCAGGCAAGCGTCTCAAAGGCACAGCGGCTGAAACAGAACTCGCTGGGCCTGTTCCTGAAATCAGCGGCTCCCCCGTCTGCCCTCCTGGCGGTCACCGGCCCCTCCTGACCACGCAACTCCCCGGCCCGTGAGTGGCTCTTTACAGAAGCCCTGGCCCTGCTCATCTCTCTCCACCTGCACTTCCTGCCTCGTGAGGCCTTTGAGCTCTCTCCCGACCAAACCAAGCTTCCCGCCCCCGCAGCGCACCTCTCTTATACCCAGAGCCCCCGAGACAAAAGACAAACGTCCCTTCCTGGCTGCTTGGCCATTCCCAGGGTGGCCCAGAGCCCGTGCGACCAGACTCCTCGGACTCCTCCCCCTTCTTGAATCTTCCAGCGGCCCCAGAGCACTGCAGTCCACCCAAATGGGCCCTGGTCGCTCACATCTCTGTGACTCGAAGGGGGCCACCCGGACTGTACACTCCTTTCCCCATTCTCTTCCTAGTCAACTCTCAGTCAGCCTTCAAGAACCAAATGAAGGGCTGCCCTCTTCTGGAAAACTCTTCCCTCACCGCCCCTCTTCAGTACTCGACACCCAAGTTATCGGGTCCATGCACTGAATGCCAACCTGCTGCCAGGCGCTTGGGCACACACCCCCCCCAATCCATCTCCAGGGAATTGCCTCCATCCTGACAGACAAGACAGGGCCCCAGAAACGGCACCACGGCAGGGGCCTAGCCCAAGGGGCTGTGCTCCAGGTGGGTCTTCTTCCTGGGTCCTCTCCTCCCACCATCCCGCCCGACAGCACGCAGCCTCCCACCAAAGCACCTGTCTCTCTCTCTCTCTCTGCGCCCGGCCCCCATGTGCCACGTGGCCCCCGCCCGGCTCGATGCTGCTCATGAAGGGCGGCCTGAGCTGTTTGGAGGGGTCCCCTCAACGTGTCTTTTACACCCGGCCCCCACCTTTCTGTGTCTGTCGGTGTCCCGGGACTTCTCCCGCAGCCAGTCGATGGTGTGGAAGTCTTCGTAGGTGCCCACGTCGGGGAAAGGCTCGTCGAGGAAATCCATCAGGTTTCCGGAGCCACTCATCGCGGGGGCATTGACCATGCTACTCACACCTGCGAGAGGAAGCTGCGGTTAGGAATGTGGCCGGACGTCGGCCCGCGCCTGGCAGAAGCTGCCCGCGTGCTGTTTCCTGGCCTGAGAGCGAACTGCCTTGCTCGCGAGGCACACGGCAGCCTTGTCAGTCCAGGCTGCTGCAACATGGCGCCACAGATGGGGGCTTGCCCTCGAAACCAGGTGATGTGTCGCTCAGTGGATACGTGGCCACAGGATCACGGGAGGTAACCCATTTCTTCTCCCAGTCCTGGAGGCCGGGAAGTCCCAGATCAAGGGGCGGGCAGATTCGGGGTCTGCTTTCTGGTTCAGACACAGGTCTTCCCGCTGCGTCCTCACATGACAGAAGGCCCCAGGGAGCATTTGTCCCCCCCCCCCCCGAGGGACCTGCCCTCACCACCTAAGCACCTCCCAAAGGCCCCAGCTTCGGAGAACATTGGGTTGGGCACCAGGTTTCGACAGATGACATCGGACAGACACAGAGGCTCTGCCTACAGCACGGCCGACTCACCTCACTGCAGGAGCTGGTTCCCTAAGGCCACCAGTGAGCAGGCACTGAAGCTCTGCCCTGAGGAGAAATACTGGGTTCGGTTCCCATGAGCCTTTGGGGCCAACACTTCCATCAAGCAATCAAAACACTCACTCACCAGGGGCACCAGCAGCAGTGAAAAGGCCGCAAGACCAGCCAAGTGGCGGGGCACCCTGGGCACGGGGGACAGCCGGCCACATGAGCTCTGCCACGGTCTGAGTGCTGGTGTCCCCCGAGGTCAGATGGCTAAAATCCTCCCCTGCCAGGTATTAGGAAGCGCGGCCTTTAAGAGGTGGTGCGGTTGGGAAGGGGATTAATGCCCTTATAAAAGGGACCACGGAGCACATCTTCAAGCAGGAAAAGGGCCTTTATCCGACCAAGCCAGCACCCTGATCTCGGCTGTCCAGCCTGAGAAAATTAGACGGCATACAGAAGGCTCCCAGGACAGCATCTTTCATCAGAGCAGCCCAAGCGGACTAAGTCGGGCCAAGAGCCAGGCCAGGCTGGCGGCACAAGGCCCAACACAAAGCTCCGGGGCAAGCGCTTGCTTGATTGTTCTTAACAGTCAAGAAAGCTGCTGCTGCAGGGGCGGTTCCCACCAGAGGGATGCTTCCTTCCTGTCCACGAGACAATTCCTCTCCCACCCACCCCCTTTTCTGGAAAACCACTGCAAATAAACCAAGACCATGTCCATCGTCGACCCCTTCAGAGCCCGGGTTCCAGATCACAGAAGAGCTCATTTGAGATGGAGAAAAATGCTTCGCAGAGGGACCAATGCTCACCACCAGTTAGCAGAAAAAATAATATGCGCTTCCAAGACAAGAGGTTGGAATAAGCGCTAAATAACAATTACTTTGGCAAAGAGCATGGAAATTTGAGTTCTAGGATGAGGACCACAAAAGTGCTGGAATCAACAGCAAAAGAGGTGAAGGGTGCTTATAAAAATATTTAGGTGTAGACTCCTCTCATCACTTTATGTATTTTTATCTCTGGAAGACTCCACCACGGCCTGATGAGACTGCGTTTTAATCAAATTGAAAAGTCGCTATGGGCAAAGCGGGACAATCACCTTACAAGCAATAAAGTGGCCACGGTGATTGATTTATTGACCGTCTGTGCGACTCCACTGCTTTAAAACTTTCAAAGTTTGAGGTTTGAGTCATGCCAAGCTGAAAACAACACCCGCTGACGAGTGCCCAGGGAAGAATCATGTTGCCTAAGTCAGTAGCAACTAGTAAGAAAAGGGAAGGAGTAAAATTCAAAAGCAAAGCGTTCTCATTTCTACAAAAACAAAAGGCCAATAGCCTCAGGGTCTGTGGTGAAGAAAATCTCTGATGGGAAAAGACAGCAGGCTGCTGACCCACCATGGGGCGCCCTTGTGAGAACAACCCACCAGCAGATAGAAGAATCGCAGACTTGACCATTTTATTTAAAAGGAGTTCCTATTACCTGAAATTAGCCAAATCTCTAGTCAAGCAACAACTCCGCTGAAACAAAACGTCACTCTGGAGAACAATTCCATCTTAAAACTTAGATGGAGCACATCGCGGTCATGACAGTTAGACACATAAGCGGCAGAAGCAGGTAAACATGGCCTGATCTGCAGAGGCTTGTGTGTCACGGCTACTAATCTCTTAGCAGATACAAGGCTGGCAAGTATGTGCTTCCATTTCGTGGGTTGTCTTTCCACCCTGCTGTTTTCCTTGCTGTTCAGAAGCTCTTTAATTCGATGCAGTCCTGCTCGTCTAGCTTTGCTTTCTGTTGGCTGTGCTTTTAGTGCTATAGCCAAGAAATCATTACCAAGATCAATGTCAAGAGGTTTCCCCCTTGTTCTCTTCCAGGAGTTTTGCAGTTTCAGGTCTTACATTTAAATCTTTAATTCACTTTGAGTTGATTTTTGTGTATTATGTAAGGCAGGAGTCCAATTTCATTCCCTTGCATGTGGATATCCAGTTTTCCCAACACCATCTGTTGAAGAGACTATCCTTTCCCCACTGTGTATTCTTAGTGCCCGTGTAGAAAACCAGTTGACCTTATAAGCCTGGATTTGCTTCTGGGCTCTCTATTCTGTTCCATTAGTCTGTGTGTCTGCCTTTATGCCACTACCATACTATTTTAATTACTGCAGCTTTATAATATGTTTTGAAACCAGGGTGTGTGAAGCTTTGGGGGTCCTTGATGGTTTGAAATTAGTTTTAGGATTGTCTATTTCTGTCAAAAATGCCATTGGGGGCCTCCCCGGTGGCGCAGCGGTTGAGCGCTGGGTTGCGAGGCTGCCCGCGGCCTCTGCAGCGCCGGTTCGATCCCCGGCTGCTCCCTGGCCACCACAGGAGGGTCCCACATGGCGCGCAGACCTCTCCTGCCGCCCGCTGCTCCCCTCAGCAGTGTACTTCGGTCCTTCTGCCTGCTCTGCTCCCCGCTCTGGCTCTGGTGAATTCTCTCACCCTCCCGCGCTTCTGACTGTACCCAGTGCATGTATAAACAAAAAACAAACAAACAAATAAATAAATAAAGCATGCCTCTATAAAAAAAAAAAAATTAAAAAAAAAAATGCCATTGGGATGTTTACAGGGGTTACATTAAATCTGCAGATCACTTTGGGCGGCAGGGACATGTTAATAACTTAAGCCTTCCCCTCCATGCACGCAGGGTGTCTTTCCATATCTTTGTATCTAATTTCTTTCAACAATGTATTCTACCTTTCAGTGCGCAAGGCCTTTTTCTCCTTGGTTAAATTCATCCCTAAATATTTTACGTTTGAGAAATTTCCTGTTTTCCTTCTGCTATTGACTTCTTGGTGTAGGGACGCCCCGCTAAAGGCCCCCAGGCTGGGTGCTCCGTGCCTGAGGGGTCATTGCACCACACGGTCACCAGAGGGCGCCGGCGAGCAGCCTTCTACCTGGGGCTTCGCGAAGCCTGCAGTGGGTCCCGCAGATCCGGGAAGTGAGGGAGGGCTGCAGCCTCCCCGCTCCCCCCCCACTCCAGCAGGTAACTGCCCCCTCCACCAAGGGAAAGGCAGCCTCATCCGCTCTCCTCTCCGTGGCCTCCTTCAGCCTTAACTCCTGCCTCCGGTCACCAGAGCCACCGACCTCGACAGTACTCGGCTCTGGCTGGGGGCCCAGAAGCTCAGGGTAACTCCCTCTCTGACGGCGGCTGCTCCTGTCCCGCGCAGTGGCTCGTCGTCTACCCCCCTCTCACTCAAACGCTTCCCCAGATGTGCGACAGATGAGTCTTAGGCACAGCGTGGTGACCCGGTCTGGACACATCAGAACATCCACCGCGTGGTTCCGCTTACACGATGTTCGGAAACCGGGAGGCAGAAGCCATTGTGCTTGGGATGGACAAGTCAGTGGTTCGTGCCCAGAACAAAGCACAGAAGCAAACAGAAGTCAGGACTGCGTTTTCTGGGGGTGGGGGATGAGGGGAAGGTGGAAGCGGGTGATGGAGAAGGGGCCCAAGACGCCAGCAGGGTGACAACCCACCGAGCCGGACACGGAGGCACTGTGTGCTGTGGCACCTCTGTCATCTTTTGCACATTTAAGACACGTTTCAAAGTAAGCCCTGCCCACCAGCAGCTTCTCGGGCACAGTGTGCACCTGTGGCTTTGGCCCAGGTGCCATTGATGCCTTTTCCTGGCACCAGTGGTGTCTCTCAACCCACCCAGAGCGAGGCTCTGCAGTGGGCCGCCACATGGGAAGCAACCACAGAAAAATGGGGCTTCCGAAGGGCAAGAGGAAGGCAGCCACAGCCTGGGCTCTCACCCAGAGGCCAGGCCAGCTCCTCCCAGAAACTCTGGTCCTACCAGTTGTCTTAGTTATCCACTGCGTGGAACAAAGCAGCCCAGAACTGAGCCGCTGAAACAAGACACAGTATCTGTCACGGCAACGCGAGGCCTTGAGAGCAGCTTGCTTGGGTTCCTCTGGCTCCAGGTCTGTCCGCAGCAGGCGGCAGGGTGGCGGCATCTGAGGGCTGCGTGGGACAGGAGGACCCCTTCCAAAGTGGCTCCCGCACATGGCTGGAACACGGCTGGCAATGGGTGCCGGCTGATGGGGGAGGCCTCGGGCCTGCCCCATCCTGGCAGGGAGGAAGAACTGCTTGAGTGACCTCAGGTCATGGCAGGCGGCTTCCTCCAGAGCAGGTGGAGCGAGGAGGAGGAGCGAGGCGCCAGTCTCCCACAGCCTGGTCTTGGAATCACACACCACCGCCTCCACCCTTGGGGCACAGGTCACCCCAGCATTCGGTGTGGGAGGCAGCTCAACTCGGGCCTGAAGACCCGCAGCCAGGGCAGCAAGCCCATGTAGGAGGCTGGCCACCACGCCAGCTAGAACCTTCCACCCCACCCCCACTGCCTCTTCCCACTTTGTGTGAAATCCCAGCAATTTCAAATGCATTTGAGATCATGGAGTCTCACCTCTGAAAGTGCAGGCGGTGAGGGTGGTGAGGAGTCTTGAGGCCTCCGCCCCTTCTAGCTAA